TCTCTAGCGCCAATCCACCATTTCTGTGTTGTTTTTTATTGTGTGTAAGAGGGGTGCTGTGTGTGAGGGTGTTTTTATCTGCTGTCACATTCTAAGTTTTTAATTTTATTTGTCTGTTAACTCACTGAAGGTTATTTTATTTATTATATATTTGTGTGTGTGCTGTATATGTGTGGGAGTGTGCTGTGTGTGGGTGCTGTGTGAGTGAGGGTGCTGTCTCTCTGAGGGAGCAGTGTCTGTCTGAGTGAGCAGTGTGTGTCTGAGGGTGCTGTGTGTGTCTGAGGGTGCTGTGTGTGTGTCTGAGGGTGCTGCGTGTGTGTGTTTGTCTGAGGGTGCTGCGTGTGTATCTGGGTGCTGCGTGTGTCTGAGGGTGCTGTGTGTGTCTAGGGATGCTGTGTGTGTCTGAGGGTGGTGTGTGTCTGAGGGTGCTGCGTGTGTCTGAGGGTGCTGCGTGTGTCTGGGTGCTGTGTGTGTCTGGGGGTGCTGTGTGTGTCTGAGGGTGCTGTGTGTGTCTGGATGCTGTGTGTGTTTGGGTGCTGTGTGTGTCTGGGTGCTGTGTGTGTCTGAGGGTGCTTTGTGTGTCTGGGTGCTGTGTGTATCTGGGTGCTGTGTGTATCTGGGTGCTATGTGTGTCTGGGTGCTGTGTGTGTCTGGGTGCTATGTGTGTCTGGGTGCTGTGTGTGTCTGAGTGTGCTGTGTGTGAATGTGAATTTATTTATTTAAATTTAAATGTAATTTTTATTAATAATTTTTAAAAAGTTATATCCCCCCCTCCCTTCTTCCCTTTAGCCTGGGAGGACCTGGGGGGAGCCGTTCTGCCTTGAGGGGGGGCGTGCTGCTATCCTTCCCTGGTGCCCAGTGGTGAGAGTGAACTCTAGCCTGCATGCTAGAGTTCACTCTCGCGAGATATGAGCGTTAACGCGGTAACCGTGGCAACGCGCAGAATCCCGCGAGAGGACCCGGCGGAGCTGCTGGCTAGAGCTCCGCTGGTCCTCTCCTGTCTTCCTCCCTCACTTCCCAGCCTGCGGGTATTGCGTGCCACCGGGCACAAATAATATGTCCCCTGATAGCCCCGATATGGGTGATCAACATATTCAAATTTCACCAAGATCGGTTCAGGGGTTTTCAAAAAGTCCTTTGTGACCGGCTAACCGTTAGCTGGCTGCCCAAAATAGTTCCATGAGTTTGGGTGGTTTTGCCGATCGATTCGGTAAAGGGGTAAAAACCGAACAATTTCATGAATTGATTCCCCTGGTGTGACAGACCCATCTGTCTGGATTATAACTGCGTTGTTCGTCTGTTTTGCCGTTTTCATGAATTTCCCCGTTCGTATGCTTTGTTTAAGAGAATGTCGGTTTTGTCGAACGGAACTACCGAACGGACGGCCACCCAGAAGAGAAGTGTGCTGCTGGTTAACCTACTGATCCCAATTAGAACGTTGCGGTTAACCACAGACACTTCTCAATTAAAAACCGAATGCCGGGTGGTCGTCGTTCGTATGTCGACCACGAGGCGGCGGCCATTTTGTCCATGCGAACGACCAGCGGTGTTGGACGATTATTTCATGGATCGGAAAACGGACACTTTTTCAGCCGAACACCGCTGAAGCCGTCGACCTCCCCTTCTCAATGGACAAAAGCATGCGAACGACAGCCGTTCGGGAGATTCAACCACACGAATGGACTTAACCCAGATAGCCGTCCCATGGAGTCAATCGCATACCGAAGAACTGAAAGAGACTTTGACTCCATGGCGATTGAACTGTGCGAATGGGATCTGAGCGCTATTCTCCAATAATGTGCCCTCAGATCCAGGCTATCTGGGGATATGCAAGACTGATGTAAAATGTTCAGCAGTTATTAAGTTATGGATTTTTGTGTGTTTTTGTAACTTGTATCTAAAATGGCGATTGCCTCTGCTCGGGGAGATAATTGAATTACTTCCCAATTAGTCCCCCGAGCAGAGGGGAGGGAACTGTACTGCATGCTGGGAATATTGTGGGGATGTATGTCCAGAATGTCCCCATGTCCCTCTGTGATTTCAGTCTCCCATTTGGTCCCCTAGGGGAGTGTCCACCAAGTGAGAGACCTGCATAAATACCGGGCAGGTAGCCCACAGTAAATCAGTTCGTGTTTTACCCTCAAAGCGGAGCTTGGTCTCGTTATTGGGGGGATTTGGATACCAGCGGCGAGAGACTGCTTACTTGGATTATTTGCCGCTTGGGAGATATTGTCGTTCGGTTATTAATTGCCGTTCGTGGATTTGCGGCTTGCGAAGGGAATCAGCCGTACAGGTACCGTTCGGGAGCTTGGAGTGTTCCCTGGCTGGCGGTTCGCCTGGTTTTATTATACCCGCTACCCGACCACATTATTGCGAACAGGGAATACTCGCTAAACGGCGGTTTGTACATTTCGTTCCTGGAGGTACCGTAACAACTGGTGGCAAGCGACGGGATGATCCTCAACGCCCAAAGAGACCATTACAACCAGGACTAAATGGAATTACAATACCAAAACCTGAGGAGGGCTACCCTAAAGGATTTATTGGAGCAAAGAGGGGGACAAGCCAGTAACCTCAGGAAGAGGGATATTATTGCGTTATTGCTGGAAATGGATGGAGTACCAGCGGAAGAGGGAACCAATGGACCCAGCGCAGCTGACAGAACCCCCGAGGAGGCAAGCTTTGACCGGGCGGTAAGAATCAGGCTGGCACATTATGGTCCCAACCCGACTACAGAGACCATTGACCGGGTCATGGCAGCTGTGGAGGCCAACCTGCTTCGCCAAAGCGGTGCTGCAGCAGCCCCAGTCACAGCAAACCCGGGGGATAAGAAAAAGGTACCATTCACTGCGTTTAAAGCCTTCAGTGAAACAGAAGGAGAGATCGATGGGTACCTTGCTGATTTTGAGCGGCAATGTGCCCTGCACAAGGTACCCCTGGAAGACTGGGTCACTATATTGTCCGGCAAGTTATCCGGCCGGGCCAGCGAGGCATTTCGGGCCATTCCTGATGAGGAGATTGGGGATTATGTGGCCGTCAGGGAAGCTTTACTCTCCCGGTATGCCGTTACACCTGAGGCATACCGGAGGAGGTTCCGAGACACCGTCAAGACCTCTGGGGACTCATACGTGGAATGGGCATGTAAGGTGCATCGCACAGCCGCCCACTGGATGGCGGGGTGCCAGGCTGTGTCCGGAGAAGAGGTGCTGCAGATGTTTCTTTTGGAACATTGTTTTGATAAATTGCCAGCAGGGGTCAGAGAGTGGGTAAGGGACCGTAAACCCTCCACTCTGCACGAAGCAGCTCGCCTGGCAGATGAGTATACTGACGCCCGCAAACTGGACAGTCTCATCAGCAAGGCTCCCGCCAGAGTGGAATACAGGCCAACAGCACCAATAGCAGCCAACCTATACCAGCCTCCCATGAATCGCCCATCGGCACCGCCTCCATCTGCCCCGTACCAACAGCCACCTCAGTTCAACTCACGGGAGTATGCCCAACCCATTCGGTGCTACCTGTGCAAGCAACTAGGGCACAAGCGACCCGAGTGCCCGATGAACAGCGCCAACCAGAACCAGTCCTGGAGGAGACCAGCCGGCGGCAATCCACGACCCCCCATCCCAGCCGCTCACTGTGTAGAGGAAGAGGAGTGCTGGGGCATCCTGCATGAGGCAGACCCCGTTCAGGCTGCCCACCGGGATAACAGGCAGCACCACCGACAATGTGTAAAAGTCAATGGGAAGGAGGTCAGTGGTCTACGGGATACCGGGGCAACCATGACTTTGCTCCAGAAACACCTGGTATCCGAAGCCCAACATACAGGGGACACGGTCGCCGTACGAGTAGCTGGAGGTGCCGTGTTCCGTCTGCCCGTTGCCCGGGTACATTTGGATTGGGGAGTGGGCGCTAGACATGTGAATGTGGGGGTCATGAAGGACTTACCAGCGGATGTCCTCCTTGGCAATGACTTGGCGCCCCTTGTTTCCGCCTACGCTCCCATGGGTCCTGCTGAAGTGGACGCTGTCACGACCCGTGCCCAGACCCGTGCCGCCGAGACCGGCCCACTTGCTGTTGAGACCCAGGTAAGACTCTCTACCCCGACTTGTACCTTAGACCAGGCCCCTTTAGGCTGGGATACCCCAGAGATATACGGGAAGGAAACCAGGGAAGACCCGACGCTAGCAAAGTACAGGGCCAGGGCCGATTCTGGGGGAGAAGGAGTAGATGGGGAGCACTACGAGTGGGTGGGGGATAGACTCTACAGGATCCCGAAACCGCCCCAGAAGCCGAATACCCCTCCGCAGAATCGACAGCTAGTGGTGCCCGCAAAATACCGGCAGGAGATTCTGCGGATTGGGCATGATGTGCCATTAGCCGGCCATCTAGGTTCCCGCCGCACAGCTCATAGGATCACGCAAAATTTCTTCTGGCCCAATTTTAACCGAGATGTGCGGGTCTATTGTAGCACGTGTGACACCTGTCAACGGGTAGGTAAGCGGGGGGATCACCCAAAAGCTAGGCTTCAGTCGATGCCTATCATTGGAGAACCCTTTTCCCGCATAGCCGTTGACATTGTGGGTCCACTGGCCAGGGCTAGTCCATCAGGTAAGAAGTATATTCTCACCGTGGTGGACTATGCCACACGTTACCCAGAGGCAGTAGCGCTGTCTAATATAGAGGCAGAGACGGTTGCTGATGCCCTGGTTAAAATCTTCACTAGGGTCGGGTTCCCTCAGGAGATCCTCTCCGATCAGGGAACCCAGTTCACCGCTGTGCTTACTCAGCAGCTGTTGAAGGTGTGCAGTATTAAACCTCTGCTTAGCTCACCTTATCACCCACAGACTAACGGTCTCTGCGAGCGATTTAATGGCACCCTCAAACAGATGTTGAGGACCTTTACTAACACTTGCAGAGACTGGGAGCGATTCCTGCCTCATCTGCTATTTGCATACAGAGAGGTGCCTCAGGAATCTACTGGGTTCTCCCCCTTTGAGTTACTCTATGGGAGAAGGGTCCGTGGACCCCTAGATCTCATTAGAGGACACTGGGAGGGGGAGACAGAGCAAGAAGGGACCCCCATAGTACCATATGTCCTGGAACTCCGGGACCGCATGGAGAAACTGTCCCTGATGGTAAGGGAGAATCTCCAGGCGGCCCAGGGGAGACAGAAACGGTGGTACGATCGGGGTGCCCGACAGCGGATCTTCCAGGTTGGGCAGAAGGTTCTGGTACTCAAGCCTGTGAAGACGAACAAGATGCAAGCATCTTGGCAGGGCCCGTATAAAGTGTTAGCTCAGGTATGCGATACTACCTACCTTATAGCCAGCTGTTCAGATGAAAGGATTCAGCGATCCTTCCATGTGAACATGCTGAAGGAGTATCAGGAACGACCGGAGGATGTTGCGGCAGTATGTGCCCCAGCTACTGACGACCCCGAGAACTTACCGTTACCTGACTTGCTAGAGAGGGACCCCCAGACAGACCTTACTAGTCTTGTACAGCTAGGGGACCGACTAAACCCGGCGGAGAAGGTACAGGCAAGACAATTACTGTGGGAGAAGCAGGCCACGTTCTCCCAAGAACCCGGGTACACTACCCTAGCTGTACACAAGGTCGAGACACCCGGACAGAACCCCCTACGGCAACCCCCATACCGCATCCCTGAAGCAGTCCGAGAAGGAATGCGGAAGGAGATACAGGAAATGACCAGGCTGGGGGTTATCGAACCTTCGGACAGTCCTTGGGCCTCGCCTGTAGTTCTGGTGCCTAAGAAAGATGGGACCACCCGGTTCTGTGTAGACTACAGGCGGCTCAACGAGCGGACCACCACTGACGCCTACCCGATGCCCCGGGTAGACGAGTTATTAGACCGTATTGCCAGGGGGCGCTATCTGACCACCATAGACCTGTGCAAAGGTTATTGGCAGATCCCCTTGGCCGAGGATGCTATCCCCAAGTCGGCATTCGTCACCCCATTTGGCCTATACCAGTTTAAGGTTATGCCATTTGGGATGAAGAATGCTCCGGCTACTTTCCAGCGTATGGTGGATAGGCTCCTCGATGGCTTCCAGGATT